CTACCACCACCACTTTCGTATCTTTCTACAAACTTTTTCTTGAATTCTATCGTGTTTCTCACCTTTACCAAAGGGCTGGCACTAGAAGCTTTCTTTGGGCCCATGGTGGCTTATTTAGCAGTTACAAGCACTAAAAAAAATGTAATAATAAAAAATGTATCTCATGTACACTTGGAATCATCTTCACTGTCTGTTAAACAGTGGCACACTGGCTGTACATGGAGTGTCGGGCCGCTCATGGCGTGCGGACACGTTCAGGATCAATGAATAACTGAGTTCAGTGTCGTTAACTGAGCCATTATTTTGATGCAAAAACGTTACCTAATCCGATTATTACTTAATCTGATGACGTCTTAATCCAGGGGTCCACTGTATTTCTTATGGGGAAAATTAATTCAGATTAAGTCAGATTCGGTAAAATTAATTCGGATTTCGTCACATTCGAGTTTAGTCACTCTCTGGAATGGATTAATTATGAAAACCGAGGGTCCACTGTATATAAAATATGAAACGACTTTAACCCTTTGACTGTCGCGGCCGTATATATACGTTTTACGAGGTGCCGTGTTTGACGTATATATACTCATAAATTCTAGCGGCTTCAAATCAAGCAGGAGAAAGCTGGTAGGCCCACATGTGAGAGAATGGGTCTGTGTGGTCAGTGTGCACCATATAAAAAAAATCCTGGAGCACGCAGTGCATAATGAGAAAAAAAAAACTCCGACCGTTTTTTTTTTTAATTAAAATGCCGACTTTGTGGTCTATTTTCGTATAGTATTTATGGTTGTATTCTCGTTTTCTTGGTCTCATTTGATAGAATGGAAAACATATTACAGAAATAGAGGTGTTTTTGATTGATTTTACTATAAAAGAACCTAGAAATGGAGTTCAAAGTAGGGGAAATGTTTGATTTTTGCCAATGTTCAAAAGTAAACAAATGATGCCATTATCCAATAAATGTCCAACTAGCCATTCTAATATGCAGTCATGAATGGGTTGATGTTGTTTATACAGTTATTACAGCATTGAAGTAGTCTGCATAATAGTAAGTCTAATATTTTTTGTTTGAATAAAAATTCAAAATAGAAAGCAAGAGTAATATCAGAGGGGCGTGGAGACATGACTGATGAGCAAAGAAAATGTTATTTTAGAGCCAGGAATGTCTGCATTGTTCATTCTGGACCTTATTTTGAAATTGTCATATTTTTTAGTTTTCGTGAAATTGGCCAAATTGCAAATTTCTGACCACATTATTAGGTAGTTGAAATCAGTAAATGGGCAGTTTCTTGTACTCAATCGATAGAAAAAATGAAGTTCTAAAGAAATAGCTATGAGTTTGGGTGACTGGAACAATGGAATTAGCCGAAAATAGGGCTCAAAGTGGGTGAAATCGCCGATTTGTAAACAGCGCCGAGGTCGCTAACTTCGCGAGAGCATAATTCTGTCAGTTTTCCATCAAATTTCGTTTTTTTTTTTGGTGTCATTACAATCGGGAAAAGATTCTCTATTCATTTCATAAGAAATTTTTTTTTTTTTTTTTTTTAAATTTTGCGACACCAGGAGACACCTCAGGATTGGGGGTTGCGACAGTCAAAGGGTTAAAACACTTGAAATTTTGGAAAGTTTCCAAACATAATGGAGAGATGCGGAGCTCACGGAGAATGTAAACAAAGCAGGTGGGTGTGCAGTGACTGTATGAAAAAGTCAGATGGGGGAGTTATATAGTAAATTTTGGTCATACTAATTTGAAATGTCCGTATTAGTGGAACGCCCTAAGGTGAAACGCCGTAAAGCAGGGCCCTACTGTATTGAGATTGTGAAATTGTACCATAATATATGAACCTACAGAATTGTACTATTTTCATCTACTTTTGATTAAACTATTAAATGAATCTTACACAGACAGATATTATTACAGACACTTGCAAAACTTACTTTTCAATTTAGGCTTTAACCCTTTCAGGGTGCAGACCCCCCCAATTTCTGTAACATGTCCACAGGGTCCAAAAATTTGAAAAGAAAATTGGTTTTTCTTATAAAAATAGTAGAGAATTTTTTCTAAAGGTAATAAAACAAAAATACAAATTTGAAAAAAATTTATGCCTTGCGAATTTTGCTGCATCAGCGATATTGACGCACGGCAATTTTGCCCACTTGACTCCCATTTTAGCCAATTACATTATTCCAGTTGACCAAATTCTTAGCTATTTTGCTAGTATCACTTCTATTTTATTGATTGAGCACATGAAATCCCCCAAATCAATTTTTTTAAACTACCCAATAAAGTGATCAGAATTGGTAATTTGGCCAATTTTGCACAAAGTTTGAAATTTTCCCCAATTTCAAAATAGGGTCCAGAATAAACAGTGCAGGCTTTCCGGGCACTAAAAATAACATTTCTTCTTTTTATTATTTTACATTTCCAGGCTTTACAAAGAATTCCATTTGATATTCACATGTTGGATTTTTTATTCACACCAAAAAATAGAAGATTTACTGCTATGCAGTATTGTAATAATTGTATAACTAATATCAGCACATTTGTGAACGCACATTAGACCCACCAGTATTGGATGCATGACGTCATTTGTTTACTCTTGAACATCGGCAAAAATCGAACATTTCCGCTACTTTGAGCTCAGTTTCAAGCTATTTTTAGTACTAAAATCAATCAAAATCATCTCTCTTTCTGTAATATATCTTCCATTCTATCAAATGAGGCCAAGAAACCGCGAATACAACCGTAAAACACCACATAGTCGCTGTTTAATCCAAAAACACAGTCACAGTTTTTTTCTCATTATGCACTGTGCTGCAGGATTTGTTTTATATGGTGCATAGTTCCTTTGTATAAAGGCAAAGGGGATAAAAGAGAGTGCAAAAACTATAGGGGGATAAGTCTGCTGAGTATACCTGGTAAAGTGTATGGTAGAGTTATTATTGAAAGAATTAAGAGTAAGACGGAGAATAGGATAGCAGATGAACAAGGAGGCTTTAGGAAAGGTAGGGGGTGTGTGGACCAGGTGTTTACAGTGAAACATGTAAGTGAACAGTATTTAGATAAGGCTAAAGAGGTCTTTGTGGCATTTATGGATTTGGAAAAGGCGTATGACAGGGTGGATAGGGGGGCAATGTGGCAGATGTTGCAAGTGTATGGTGTAGGAGGTAGGTTACTGAAAGCAGTGAAGAGTTTTTTACGAGGATAGTGAGGCTCAAGTTAGAGTATGTAGGAAAGAGGGAAATTATTTCCCAGTAAAAGTAGGCCTTAGACAAGGATGTGTGATGTCACCGTGGTTGTTTAATATATTTATAGATGGGTTGTAAGAGAAGTAAATGCGAGGGTCTTGACAAGAGGCGTGGAGTTAAAGATAAAGAATCAACACACAAGTGGGAGTTGTCACAGCTGCTCTTTGCTGATGACACTGTGCTCTTGGAGATTCTGAAGAGAAGTTGCAGAGATTGGTGGATGAATTTTGGTAGGTGTGTGCAAAAGAAGAAAATTAAAGGTGAATACAGGAAAGAGTAAGGTTATAGGATAACAAAAAGATTAGGTGATGAAAGATTGAATATCAGATTGGAGGGAGAGAGTATGGAGGAGGTGAATGTATTCAGATATTTGGGAGTGGACGTGTCAGCGGATGGGTCTATGAAAGATGAGGTGAATCATAGAATTGATGAGGGAAAAAGAGTGAGTGGTGCACTTAGGAGTCTGTGGAGACAAAGAACTTTGTCCTTGGAGCAAAGAGGGGAATGTATGAGAGTATAGTTTTACCAACGCTCTTATATGGGTGTGAAGCATGGGTGATGAATGTTGCAGCGAGGAGAAGGCTGGAGGCAGTGGAGATGTCATGTCTGAGGGCAATGTGTGGTGTGAATATAATGCAGAGAATTCGTAGTTTGGAAGTTAGGAGGAGGTGCGGGATTACCAAAACTGTTGTCCAGAGGGCTGAGGAAGGGTTGTTGAGGTGGTTCGGACATGTAGAGAGAATGGAGCGAAACAGAATAACTTCAAGAGAGTGTATCATTCTGTAGTGGAAGGAAGGCGGGGTAGGGTCGGCCTAGGAAAGGTTGGAGAGAGGGGTAAAGGAGGTTTTGTGTGCGAGGGGCTTGGACTTCCAGCAGGTATGCATGAGCGTGTTTGATAGGAGTGAATGGAGACAAATGGTTTTTAATACTTGACGTGCTGTTGGAGTGTGAGCAAAGTAACATTTATGAAGGGGTTCAGGGAAACCGGCAGGCCGGACTTGAGTCCTGGAGATGGGAAGTACGGTGCCTGCACTCTGAAGGAGGGGTGTTAATGTTGCAGTTTAAAAACTGTAGTGTAAAGCACCCTTCTGGCAAGACAGTGATGGAGTGAATGATGGTGAAAGTTTTTCTTTTTCGGGCCACCCTGCCTTGGTGGGAATCGGCCAGTGTGATAATAAAATAAAAAATAAAACTTAACACATAGATGCAGTCTTTCATATCTAGGCCCAGATTTACCTCTCGCAAGTTATCTGAGTGAGCCGAGCTCATGGCATAGAACTACAGCTTTGACCCTGGCTTCAAAGCTGTAGAACTATGGGACGGACCCTCAAAAGGTTAAAAGCGAGGAGATATTACTGTTGTTGAGATGTGCAGGCACAGGTTTTGTGAAGAAATCTTTCTAGTACATTATCTTTTGAACACTTGTTTCAGTTTATCACTGTAGCCTTTTCTTTTTGTTGGTGATATTAAAAAATCATTATCTTTTTTTTATTTAATCTTGAATGAACTTTCTGTAGTTATTATTTAAACTTTTTTCATTGGTATATTCTGCCTCTCTGCATATTTTTTTTTTTTTTTTTTTTTTAGGTTTCAGATCTATTTTGTAACTCATCTTCAGACTCATTTATTGCTAACAGTTTTATACTCTAAATTGCAATTTAAGTATTATAGGCTTCTTTACTCTCCCATTGTGCACTCCCAGACTTGATCATGTCCTTCCAAAGCATCAATGTCCCCTTTTTTTTTTTCATCAGGTTGAGATGTATACTGGTGATGTTGATGATGATGAGATTATGGCTGTAGAGGGACAGGATGGAAACCAGTATGTTGTTCTAGAGGTTATACAGCTTCAGGTAAGTGTGCACAATATTGTAAGTGATGCAAATGGCATTCTTTTCTGAAAGTTGACAAGGATGCATGAAAAGAATGTAGTAATGTAAGAAATGCACATTAGGGTCTCAAGAAGATTAGTTTTGTGCCACTGACCAGCAATGCCAGTAGGCTAGATAATCTACTAGTCTGATATAGAAGTTACCATCCCAGTTTGTTATGGATCAGGGAAACAAAAAGATGTATACTGTTTTTTCTTGCTACTTAGTCATAATTAATTCTACTGATTCTACTGTCGGTAGATTTAGAATGAGCTAAGATTTTTAGATGTGAGTTCAGTACAAAGGATACCAGGTAACCTTGAATACCCAATTTGAAGAAATTTGGAGATGGTGGGATGTTAGGATGTTATGGAATTCACTGTAAGGCATATGAACAACATGTAAGTCATGGTGTTTAAGTAAAGCTACAAGGGAAAGTATTGGCATCAAAAACTGAACTTCCTTAAAATATGACGAAATTTACATATTTTTTTTTCCTTGAAACACCAGCCATATCCCACTAAGGCAGGGTGACCTAAAAAGAAAAATGAAAGTTGTTCTTTTTACATTTAGTAATTAGATTCTTAAGATTTTAGGTATTTCTTGCTACTTCTAACACTTAGGTCACACTACACATGCATGTGCAAGCATATGTACACACTACACTCCTCTGGGTTTTCTTTTATTTTCTTACTAGTTCTTAAGAACATAAAAAAGAAGGAACACTGCAACAGGCCTACTGACCCATGCAGAGCAGGTACATCCCCCCCCCCTCAGATTAGCCCAATGACCCACCCAGTCTGGTCACCTCCACTCAAGGAAGGAGCACGGCACCAGACCCAGCAGCACAAGCTAGTCAGGTCCAACTCACACCCACTCACGTATTTATCTAACCTATTTTTAAAACTACACAACGTTTTAGCCTCAGTAACTGTACTCGGGAGTTTGTTCCACTCAGCCACAACTCTATTACCAAACCAGTGCTTTCCTATATCCTTCCTGAATCTGAATTTTTCCAACTTGAAACCATTGCTGCGAGTCCTGTCTTGGATGAAAATTTTCAGCACACTATTTACATCCCCTTTATTTATTCCTGTTTTCCATTTATACATCTTGATCATATCCCCCCTAATTCTACGCCTTTCAAGAGAGTGCAGATTCAGGGCCCTTAGTCTATCCTCATAGGGAAGATTTCTGATACATGGGATCATCTTTGTCATCCTCCTCTGTACGCTTTCCAGAGCATTTATATCCATTCTGTAATACAGTGACCAGAACTGAGCAGCATAGTCTAAATGAAGCCTAACCAAGGATATATAGAGGTGAAGAACAACCTAAGGACTTCTATTATTTATACTTCTAGATATGAAGCCAAGAATTCTGTTAGCTTTATTGCGAACACTAATGCACTGTTGTCTTGGTTTTAGAGTACTGCTAACCAGAACTCCTAAATCCTTTTTGCAATCATTAGTACGTATTAAGATCTGCATTATTTAGTTTATATGTGGCATGGTTATTTACCTGTCCAACATTTAGAACTTTGCATTTGTCAATATTAAAACTGCATCTGCCACTTTCCGACCATTGCATCAGTCTATTCAAATCATCCTGGAGTGCTCTAGTGTCCTCATTAGAATAAATTGGACGGCCTATTTTGATGTCATCGGCAAATTTGCTTATGTCGCTATTTATTCCCTCATCTATGTCGTTTATGTAAATTGTGAACAACAACGGGCCCCAAAATTGACCCTGAGGAACACCGTTTGGGTTGTGCCCCCATTCTGATTTCCCCCCCTTTATGCAAACCTCTCCCCTTTTTGTCAGCCAGCCTCTCCCCAGGAAAAAATTTCCCCTCCTTTTACGTGTCCCAGTTTCCTAAATAGCTCTTTATGGAACTCTATCGAAACCCTTATGAGGTCATATACACAATATCATTTCATTGCCATGATTACCCTCAAACCCCCTTAGTGAAAAAAATTAGTAAATTCATAAGACAGGAACGCCCTTTGTAAAAAAACCCTGTTGAGATTCATTAATCATCTGTGCCCATCAAATTCTACGAAATTGTTCGGCGTTATTGTTCCATAAACTTTCCACTTTGGGGGTAAAGGGTTATTGGTCTAGAGTTGAAGCCCCGGGCCCTTCACCTGCCTTTTAAATAGGATTACCTTTGCCATTTTCCATTATCAGGCACTATGCCAGGTAGCTAAGTTCCCCTTTTTAAATTCCTTTAAAACCCTTTAAACAATTTATCAGGGCCTGGGGGTTTTTTAGGTTTTAGTTTTCTTATTTTTGAGGACCTGTCACTAGTTACTGAGTGTACATGTTTATTTTCATCCCGTTTTACATAAACTATTATTTCAGGGAAAATCGAGTATTTTCCCGGGGGAAAAAGAGGGAAAAGGGGGATTGGAATTTCACACATATCCTTTTCACTTCAATGATCTAACCAGAGTTACTCTTAAGGGGCCAATCTTGTCCCCTATTTACTTCTGTATACCCGAAAGAACCCCTTTTGGGGTTGTTTTGAACTCTTGCAACCCCAGCCTCTAAAAACCCTTTTTTCTTTTTATTCCCTTTTTTTTTCTCTCTTTAAATTTAAAACAGTGGACCCCCCGGTTTAAAAAACTTTTTTATTCCGTAGTATGTTTAGGTGCAGTACTAACCCCAATTTTTTCCCTAAGGAATATTGTGAAGTAGATTGTCCATTTTAGACCCCCAAACATAACGTACAAACGCACTTACATAAAAACACTTAATAATTGGTCGATTTGGGGTGCGTTAAGCGGGGGGCCATGTTTATGATTTCTTAATGCCCTCCCCCCTTTTGATATTTTAAAGCCTCTCTTTTGACCAGTGAGATGTTTTAATGTATTGTTCATCCCTTGGGTCATTTTTGTTAGATCGATTTCCCATCGGAACAAAAGTTGTCTGGGAGCTAAAAACTATACTTAAAAATGTCTTTTTGGAAACCGGATCACTTCCCCTGACCCATAGTAGGACCCCCAAAATTTGCCCCCCCAGGTAATTTTTCGCCCCATAAAGTGGCCAAGTGAAAATTGGACAGGATTTGATTGCGTTTTCTGGGAAATTTCCCATGTTTTATTTTAAAACTAGGTCATTTGTGATCATTTTTCCCAAGCTCTCTTTAACCTCAGATTATTTTAGTGAATCTTTGTTGGAAAGAACCAAAGTAAAACAGTTTGTTTCCTTAGTTGGTTCTGTCAAAACCCTTTTTAAAAAAAGCAATCTAAAACCGTATCAAGAAAGTCACTAACTCAAATTTTCTGTATATTTTCCCAAAATCAATTTGTCTAAAGAAAAAAACCCCCCCCTTATCAAAAACATTTTCTGTCTGATCCCTTAGAATTTGCCCCAAAACGTTACTGCCTCCCTATAAAAGGTTTTGGGGGCCTGTAAATCACACCCAAAATTTGTCACGCCCTCGAAAAAACTGTAGCCAAACAGTTTTGTGTTTGAGGTTTTAATTTATATAATGTCTAGCAAAAATTTTAAAAATTTTCTTGACAATTCACATCCCCCCCCTTCCTTTTGACCCTTCAGTGGGGAATAGTTTAAAAACCTGTATTTTGCATTCGAAGGCTTTTTCTCTTCTTTCGGGTTAAACCAGGTCTCTGTTTTCCCAAATAATATCTATTTACCTAAACTTGCAAGTAATTTAGCTATTTCTTTTTCTTAGTCTTACTACACTCCATCTGATTCGACCCGCTGACTTACGACCACTCGACTTAGACCGTGTTTTTTTTTGCCAAATTTCTGGGAAATAAAAACATTTTTTTTTGCACGTGTTTATCCTAAACCTTCAGTATAAAATACGTCTAAGCATAAAAAATAAAGTAAAAAAAGGGGAAAAACCAAAAAAACAATAAAATTTAAAATATTACAAAAATGTTTTGTTGATATTCAGTGTAAAGTTTTTGACTTTCGACCCGGGTTTTTCGGAACCGAAATCGTCGTAAGTCGGATGGTAGGTGTATTTGTATGTAAAACCTTAAGGGGGTAGTCATCGTTGCCCCCTTTCATTCTTTTGTTTGTTGATCAATTGATTTGCCCTTACTAGCAACTTTTTTTGAATATTGTTTTTAACATAACCCTTGGGGATCCCGTAATTTCGTTTTTAACGTAATGTGCAGCCCGATTGTTTCCCCCAAAAAACCCATACTCTAAAATCTATCAGTTTAAAATTTTAGAAAGTCATCAGTTACTTCTCAACGAATTGGTAATGAACACTCATCCCCGAGAGATGAACCCCATCCCTTGCAAATATCAGTTTGCCAAAGAATAGGTTATCAATGAATGGGATTGCAAGTCCCTTGCAGTATGTCTAGCCAGCAATTTATTCCAATTGCCCTAGACATCCATTCATTGCCCACTCCCTTTCTAGGCAAGATGCTACATATGACTGGGATCCCTCCCTTAGACCTAACTACTTCTATGGCTGACCTGTACTTATCCAGCAGCTCCTCTCTCCTGCCCTTCCAAATGTCATTACCCCCAGCACTAAGACAGATAATGGGCTTGTTCCCATTACCTGCCATAATATTATCCAACCTGCTGACTATGTCTCCATAGGGAAGTGAAAGAGAATTCTTCCTCTGTAAGCCATGCGTGTCGTAGAGGTGACTAAAATGCTGGGAGCAAGGGGCCAGTAACCCCGTCTCCTATGCACATTACTAAAGTTAAAAAGAGAAACTTGTTTTTCTTTTTGGGCCACCCTGCTTCGGTGGGATACGGCTTGTTTGTTGAAAGAAGAAGAAAGAAATTAGATTCTAACTGTCATCAGAAAAATTTCAACACTCATTCACCAGCATATACACAAGTCATTCTCTTACTAAATGAAGAAAATACATAAAAAAACCATAATCAAAGACACTATTTCCATTTTGCTTAAATAAACAACTGATTGGTGGTGGCCATAGCAACTGAATTTTATCTTCATATTACTCCACTAGTGAGTTATCTTCTTTATAATCCAGCAAAATAGAATGATGCACATTTTTCTAATGTTTGCAATTAACATTTCTAACAGTATAGAATTCTGTATGTTTTAGTTTTTAGAAGAAATGTGTGTGCTAGGTTTGGCTGTGTAAACTTTGAACTGTGGTTGGAGGAGGAATGTAAGGAATGTAAGGTAGGGAGGAGAGTGAGTCACACTAAAATCTCGAAGGTACAAGACCACATTTTATGCCTTAACAACTTCCTAGAATTTTATTTTTTTCTTACATTTTATATGAAAACAGTTAATGCATTTTTCATGATCATAGTGGTGGCTTCCAAGGCCACCACTAGTTTCCATTTTTTTTTGAATATAGATAGTGAAGTGTATGTTTATATTAGTTTAATAACATTAAGAGCTATAAGCCTTGTGTATGTGCTTTTGCATGGTAAATCACATAATTATTTATGAGTGTTCATCTATATGTACTCATCCAACGTAGTTGTTGAGGTTGAGTCTTAGCGTCTGGCCCTGCCTCTCAGTTTGCTGCTTGCTAACACACTGAATGATGGTGATTGTGTGTTAGTTAATGTGAAGACTGTCATACCCTCATTAAAGGATTTTTTTTCCTTTGATGACTATATATTATTGCATTTTTAAGTATGTGTAAGATGAATTAATATATAAAAAATTTCAGGATGGTGAGGGCCATGTCATGATGTCTGACGGCATCCCTGTAACTGATGGCACTCTTGATGGCACGGGAGTTGGTGGTGTTTTGGGGTCTTCACCTCTAATGGTCCCAGAAACAATAACTGGAGATACAATTACTGGTGATACTATAGGCAAGTATTTATTTGTGCTTACACTACAGAGAGAGAGAGAGGTTAAGGTTTATAAACTAAAAGAGGAGGCAGTTAGGGTAAGATATAAACAACTATTGTAGGATAGATGGGCTAGTGAGAGTATAGGCAATGGGGTTGAAGATGTAATGGGTAGGTTTAACCTTTTCAGGGTCGAGAGGCCCTCTCCTAAACTTGTTCCTCAGGGTCAAAACTTTTTCGGAAAAAAAAAAAAAAAAAATTTTTTTTCTTATGAAATGATAGAGAATCTTTTCCCTATCATAATGACACCAAAAGTATGAAATTTGATGGAAAACTTATGGAATTATGCTCTCACGAAGTTAGCGGTCTCGACGATTCGTAAACATCGGCGATTTCACCAACTTTGAGCCCTATGTTCAGCCAATTCCTGTATACTAGTCAACAAAAATCATATTTATTTCGCTAGAACTCCATTTTTTCTATCAAACGAGTACAAGAAACCACCCATTTACCAATTTCAACTATCCAGTAAAGTGGTTAGAAATTGGCAATTTTGCCAATTTCACACAAATTTCAGATGCCAATTTCCAAATAGGGTCCAGAATAAACAAGACAGACATTCCTGGCACTAAAATAACAAGTTCTCTGTTTGTTAGTCACGTCCCCAGGCCCCTCTTATATTTCTTTTGCTTTCCACTTTGAATTTTTATTCTTACAAAAAATAAAAGATTTACTGTCATGCAGACTACTGCATTAGTGTAGAAATGGTATAAATAATATCAGCGCACTTGTGAAAGCATATTAGACTCACCAGTTGACGTGTATTGGACGCTTGGCATGATTTGTTTACTTTTGAACTTTGGTAAAAATCAAACATTTCTGCTACTTTGAGCTCAGTTTCAAAGTACTTTTCATTGTGAAACCAATCAAAATCATCTCAATTTCTGTAATATGTCTTCCATTCTATAAAATGAGACCAGGAAAACTAGAATACAACCATAAATACCATACGAAAATACAGTGCAAAGTCGCTGTTTTAATCCAAAAACACGGTCAAAGTTTTTTTTCTCATTACGCACAGTGTGCTGCAGGATTTTTTTTATACTGCACACACTGACCACATAGACCCATTCTTTCATATGTAGGTCAATAACCCTGGTGTGTAAGCCGTATTAGTACGTTGGAAACCCTGAAAGGGTTAAGAATGTAGTGTTAAAGTGCTCTGCAGAAGTTTGTGGTTACAGGAAAGTGGGTGCGGGAGGGAAGAAGAGCGATTGAGGGAATGATGATGTAAAGAGAGTAGTAGGGGAGAAAACGTTAGCATATGAGAGTTTTTACAAAGTAGAGGTGATGCAAGGAGGGAAGAGTATATGGAGAGAAAAAGAGTGGTTAAGAGAGTGGTGAAGCAATGTAAAAAGAGAGCAAATGAGTGGGTGGGTGAGATGTTATCAACAAATTTTGTTGAAAATAAGAAAAAGTTTTGGAGTAAGATTAACAAGTTGAGGAAACCTAGGGAACAAATGGACTTGTTAGTTAAAAATAGGAGAGGAGAGTTATTAAATGGAAAGTTAGAGGTATTGGGAAGATGGGGGGAACATTTTGAGGAGTTGTTCAATGTTAATAAAGATAGGGAAGCTGTGATTTTGTGTATAGGGCAAGGAGGAGTAACATCTTGTAAGAGTGAGGAAGAGCCAGTTGTGAGTGTGGGAGAAATTCGTGAGGGAGTGGGTAGAATGAAAGGGGGTAGGGAGCTGGGATTGATGGGATAAAGATAAAAATGTTAAAAGCAGGTGCAGATATAGTTTTGGAGTGGTTGGTGCTATTATTTAATAAATGCATGGAAGAGGGTAACGTACCTAGGGATTGGCAGAGAGCATGCATAGTTCCTTTGTATAAAGGCAAAGGGGACAAAAGAGAGTGCAAAAATTATAGGGGAATAAGTCTGTTGAGTATACCTAGTAAAGTGAATGGTAGTTATTATTGAAAGAATTAAGAGTAAGATGGGGAGTAGGATAGCAGATGAACAAGGAGGCTTTAGGAAAGGTAGAGGGTGTGTAGACCAAGTGTTTACAGTGAAACTTATAATCTCCCTCTTTCCTACATACTCTAACCTGAGCCTCACTATCCTCGTAAAAAACTCTTCACTACTTTCAGTAACCTACCTCCTATACCATTCACCTGCAACATCTGCCACATTGCATCCCTATCCACCCTGCCATACACCTTTTCCAAATTCGTAGATGCCACAAAAAACCTCTTTACCCTTATCTGTATACTGTTCACCTATATGTTTCACTGTAAACACTTGGTCTACATACTCCCTACCTTTCCTAAAGCCTCCTTGTTCATCTGCTATCCTTAGTTCATATGTTCATATTTGTTAGTGGTTTAACATCAATTGCTTTTTGTTTTTTAATAATTGTAACAACTATTAATATTAGATCACTGCGTAAACACTATGATGACCTCATTGCATTACTGAAGTCTAAATGGTACTAGAACTTTCATTATATTTACTGAACCCTGGCTCAGACAAGATTTGACAGACATATTTACTATACCTGGTTACACAGCCATACATAACTGCAGGCCTGACCAGTCAGGAGGCAGCACTGCCATCTATTACTCTGATGAACTAGAATGTATGAAATCAACTAATGTACGGGACAAAAACGGCGAATATATAATAGCTAAATTCGCATCAAGAACTCTTAAGAAACCTATAACAGTTGGCGCAGTCTACAGACTACCACACACAAATACTTACACTTTTAGCAGTATCCTTAGAAACACGATACAGTGGACCCTCAGTTATTGGCCATAATCCGTTCCAGTAGGTCGACCGATAACCGAAATGGCCGAAAACCGAATTAATATTTCCCATAAGAATTAATGGAAATACAATTAATCCGTTTGACAAAAATATTTACAAAAAAATAATTTTTTTAACAATTATGTAAGTTTTACATACCTTATTGAAGGCTAATGCTGGCTTCTGGAAGATAGGGAAGAGGAAAGAGGGAGGAGTTAGTGTTTTGAAGGGGAATCCCCCTCCATAAAGACTTTAGGTAGCAAAGCCTTCTCTGGGGTTACTTCTCTTCTTTGTCTTTAAATGCCCTGGAAGCTTAAGAGCACTGGCCCCTGCCCCGCAAAAAAATCTTTCCATGAGGTCTTTTTCCCGGGGTCTAAGTTTTCCCCTGATGTAGACAGGGTTTTGTCATAAAACTGTTGCAGATATGGCTTGTTTCAGCTTGGTCGGGGTGGTGTTTCTTACAAAAGTTTGCACCCTGTCCACGGGAAAACCTTTTAATCTATCATTTATGCTAAGACACTCATTACAAACCTTAAAAAATTTTTGTAGTCTTAGGTGGGCAAGAGGTGAGTAGTACAGTGGCCCTCTTTTTATTGTCGTTAATCCTTTATGGAAGTGTGACGTTTACGAAATAGAAATTTTTTTTTAAAAAATTTTTTTCCCCCTAAGAAATTGTGAATACAATTAACCGTTCCTGACTCCAGAATATTAAAAACAAAAAAATTTTTTACATGAAATTAGATGTAGTACAAAAAACAATACAATGGGGCAGATGAATGAAACTTTAAACAGCAAAAATTTTTCCTTTTATTGGCATTCTTTTTGTGTAGGGAAAGGGGACTGGGGAGGAGAGAGATTGGTTATTTGTTTTTGGGGGAAGGGGGAAACCCTTCCATCAACCCTCAGGCCCAAAGCCTTTCGGGGTTTTAAAAATTCTTTCTCTTTTTTTTTAATGCCCTGCCCCAGTTGAGAGTCACTGGAGTCCTGTTTCCAAAAAAGGCCCAAAGGGACCCCTGTTTTGGCATCTCTTTAAAACTTCCCTAAAAGGGCCCAAGACTCTGTCACTGACAATTTTCCTATTGGCTTGCAACATCCCCCCCCAGAGTGATGTTTCTCCATAATTTTTTCCATCCTCCCCCCCACTTTTCAAAAAATCTCCTTAATTTCTGAAAAAGGCCCCTTTCTTCCATCTCTCTTCCCCCTCCTCTGCGCGGGTTTTCTGACTGCAATCTGTTGCGTTCTGCTGAAGCTCTTGGGGGTCCTCGGGGTTAGCTTTCGTTGTGGCCCTCCCCCCAATCTTCCATTTTCCAAACTCACATCCAACCCCTGGGATCCCAAAATGCCACAATTTTTTTCACAAGAATAGGCTCATCAGGGTCACCAAAAAACCCTTCAAAATCCCTCTTGGGCACAATCGGGGCCACAATTTTCCCCAAGCAAAAAAGGGTTTTCCTTGGTTTCCTTTTCTTTCCCGATGGAAGATAGGGTTATTGGGGTTTTTTATACATCCTGGCCAGTTCGGCCACACGTACGCCACTTTCTATTGTTCAATGTTGTTTTTTTTAAATTCAATATATTTCTCCCCTTCTTTATCAAAGACTTGGCACTAGGAGCTTTCTTTGGTGCCGGGTAGCTTATTTGCACTTGCAAGCATAAAAATGAAGGAAATATTATAAAATTATTTTTTTGAAAAAGTGAGAGGCCCGTCACTCACTGGTAAAAAGGGCACAGGGGTGGGAGGCGGGCTGGGGTGGCTCAGACCCGTGAGTATGCATCCGGGACAAACCAATTAGCGAGAACCAAACCCTTTTTGGACCCAATTTTTGACGAAAAAGAAAACGTTTTCCCCAAAAAGGAAAAGGGGCCCTATCGCCCCCCCAACGATTACGAGGGCCACGTATTTATTTGTAGGAAGTCAGCGTGGTAGCAGAGTGGGTACAGTACCGTATTAGCCCCCCCCCCCCCCGGGCTCATACCAGCTATTTACAATACCACCCAAATTATTACACACCAGCCATATTTTCCCATGTTTCAAACAATACCTTTAGATCAATCATAAAAAAGGGGAGAAGTAATTAAAATTCATCCCAAGAATTGTAAACAAAAGAATATGAAGGGCGGTTCTGCACCAGTCCCAGTTCACAGTTTTCTCAAAACGCGCATCAGAGAAAATGAAATTTTTTACTCCCCATCCACTCTCCACTCGATA